ATCCAACACCATAGGCGAGTGACTGTTCGATTACCTAACTTGGCGGACCCAGCTATATATTTTTATATACATCACAAATCAGCAGAAGCTGGAATTTATAGGCCCATGGATCGAATCCCAGTGACTGAATTTTCTACCAGAAAATTCTAGGTGGGTGCATACTGCTGAAGAGTCTCAGGACTAAAACTTAACACCTGTTCAGTACTCCTTAGTTCTTCAGTAGTTCTCTAACTGATGTAAACTTGTAATCGAACCTGCAACTGGTCAAATCTCTACAAACCAAGACCTGTTAACTCACTGTATTCCCACATATACAGACACCTTTATTCCCCCTTATACAACAGCAATAAAGTTTCTGAGTTAAGCATAACAGAAAATTCACTATCTCGACGAAATCTACGATGCTAAGTCAAGGCCGAAAAATGAAAGCAACACATACATGCCAATTTTGATAGATGATGTAACCGGTTGCTTCAGGGTCATTTTGCAGCTTGTTCTGGTGAGTTAAGAGTGGTGCCTGATATAGTCTCACTTCGTCTATTATTTTACTTTTCAAATACATAGTAACTATAAGAAAACAAGGTTCAGTGCACTTAAACAAAAAATATTGACTCTAATTAGTTTTACAGATCAGTAGTTGTACAGTAAGATACAATACTTAACCAATAAATTATTATCAAAATGAATATAGAAAAAGAAAAGGGTTGATATTATTTATGTAACCAACCAACGACTAGTAACAGTTACTGTCGACAGAAGAAATCTCAACGAAATTTCCACTTATTTAGGTGACATCATTTCAGCTGTAGGCGGCACAGATCAGAATGGTAAAAGCAGGATAGGAAAACTATGACATCTGCTGCAATCGACACAAAGAAAAAATCCGACTTTTCAACACCAATGTCATATACGTGCTTCCATATTGTTCAGAGAATTGGCGCGCGCGTCACGGAAAGCATTCCCAACATGCTGAAGATTTTATCAACAGCTATCTTTGCTCGATACTGAAGATAAAATGGCCACAAAAGATAAACAACAATAATCTTTGGCAACAAATAAACCAAGAACCAACTGCTCAATACATGTGACGAATAAAATGGAGACTTTTCGGATACACTGTGAGAAGACGCTTGAGTGACATTATGTTGAAGGTAGACACTCGAGTGGAACCCGGATGGGAAATGACAAGTTGTGTGTGGGTCCGAGAGTGACAAGGAGGATATCAGGTGAGGAAATGAGAGATTAGATAAAGTCAGGGAGCCAAACATACAGAACTACATAGAACAGGATGAGGATGTGCTGTCGAAGCCACATGTCCCACTCAGAACACAAAGGAATGAAAAAAAATGTAAAAGTTACACAGAGAAAGATAATCAGAAGTGTTTTGTATTTTGGAAACACTGAAAAATTTCGACCGTACGAAGAGAAGGGGGGATCAGACAATTTTAGTCTGAATGCAAAGTTTTACTTTCACTAAATAAGGCTTTAGAAATACAAAGAAGACGGCTAAAAATGTAATTTTAGCAGGTTACTTTTTATCTTGTAAATAACGTTGAAGGAAGAGTTAATTCAGGAAAAATAACCAATGTCAACATGATTTTCAGCACTAATTTCAATTCTCTAAAAGATTCTTGGTGAAAATAGATATCGAGGAAGACATTAAACCAAAGGCATAAATACAAGAATGAACTGTACGTGTGAACAGATATCAGGGGAGACTTGGTATTAAACGTCTTAAAGATAAGAAACTCTAATTCCCTAAAGAAGGGTTTCTTTGAAACGAGTCTAAAACTGGTATTCTATGGTCTAGCAACGTAAAGGACAAGCTTCTGCATACGACTACTTTATTGTGCGCATATTAGCTCACCTGTGCCAGTGGAGCTAAATAAATAAGTAGTGTAATTTCAAAAGGAATCCCAAAATACCATCCTGGATGACTCCAAAGGATCAGCAGTCGTTCTGTCAGAAGGTCTATCAACGACCACTCCGTCAGTACTTAACAGAAAGTTCATCATTCTCAGTCATTTATAAAATGGAAAGAAATATATCGAAGGCAGTATGCTTCGAATTTCTTCACACTTCATAAACCCTCGCTATATATATCCAGTAGCCGGCGTTGTGTATACGATAGATGATAATTTGATTCTAGTATCTACCATAGGCCTAGTTTTGTGTGCTTTGCTTTATTCTTTATTCAGTCGTCTGCTTCTCTTTTTTCATCTTCGATTACAAAACATCATATCATTCTGCCTTTGCGTTCGCCTTGATCATACCTAAATTTTCGAAAAGGTATTCTAGATCATACTCAACCTTACTTCTTGGCCTGCATACTTTGTGATTGGTCTTAATCTCATACCACACTTGGGAGTTTTAATATTAAGCTGAAAAATTATTATTTCTATTTCAGTGTCAATTTCATTTCAAACCGACATTGTTTAGATAAACAGTGAAAAATTAAGAAGCGTAGTACAGGTGTTTCGTCCTAGGTTGTCACTCTTCAGTGATGCTAACCAGGGACCACTCCAGGAATCGAATATAGGCCCTTTAGGTTACAAGGCGAGTTCATCGATCATTCAGCCAGTGAGTTTGCATACAAATGACCCCTATATTCTGATTTCTGTACGCAATATAGCGCCACAGTCAAACATTGGAATAGATAATTATCTGCTTCACAGCCGATATGATGAACATGATCGCCCTAATGGATCATCTACTGACGAGGTCTCATTGCGGATACAAAAGGCTTGTGTGGCATTTTCCAGCTTATGACATCTCTGGCATAGAGGCGATATCCTGCTATTAATGAAGGGACGTATGTACTGCGCCACAGTTCCCTCCGTCCATTTTTTATTGCTGTGAGACATGACTATTGAAAATGGGAAGAATTGAAGAGGCTAGCTGTCTTTGATCATGGTTACTTGCTTTCTACCTTTCATGTGAAGTAGTATAATATGTTGGGTAATAATATGGTTAGGCATCCATTTATACAAAGCTACTGATCCATAACAGATCAACGGGTAACAGTTCTTATTCATTGAAATTATTTTCTGAATTTCCTGTAGATTGCTTTTTATGAGACTGAATTGTCAGTTCATCACATTAGGCGGAATATTAGATTGTATTTTTATTATTATCTTATATGTTCATTCTGTATCATTTTTATTATGAAAAGTCTCCGCCAAAACTTTATTCTGAAGTCAGGATATCACTTAAATGCACTACAATAATTCGCATTAGAAAATAGAAACCTCCTTGAATTAGGTAGTCATTATGTGAGTAAGTGAATGAATGCTGACAAGAAAGAATTAGAACATTTCATACAACTAGCTACCTACCTAATCAACTAATTTTTAGCATTTGATGTTTGTTTGCGTATTAGAAACACTAACAACAACAGCAGCAAGGAATGAGGTTGAAAGCATGAATCCTTCTCCCAGTAGTAGATAAATGATATATGCATCAGCTGATTTTAAAATTTAAAGTCATGTGACCTGATTTCCTTCTTATTTCAAAAATGATATATTCCTAGTTGACGTTTTTATCGGGAAAAAAGAGGAGATAATTACCAACTTGAGGGGAATGATATAATAGTAATAATAATAGTAATTAGTTAGACATATCCGTTTTGGAAGAGTTTCTTTTAATTATACTCTCCGACCAAAGAAATATTTTAGAATAATTGGTTACAGGATTTCATCATGAGCTGACATCGGTTAGAGAACCATTGGAAAACCTGGGAGCATTGGACAGGTGCTTCGTCCTAGTTTGAGACTCTTCATCAGTACTCACTCACTGGGATTCGAACCCAGGGCCTTCTGGTTACAAGGTAGGTAGTTACTTGGGGTTCTAGTGGGACGTCGTGACCAGTAGGCCAGGTATAAGGACAAATGCTCGCCGAAGACATTGGCTTGCAGTCGCGCTATATTGTCAGCTGCCAAAGTTGGAATTCACAGGCTGGTCATTAGATTGGGTCTCAGTGGCTCAGTGGTCTACGAGATAGCCTTGTAACCAGAAGGTCCTGGGTTCAATTCTTGGCTGTGGGAGTGTACTGATGAAGAGCCCCAAACTAGGACGAAACATCTGTCCAATGCTCCCAGTTTTTCCAATGGTTCTCTAACCGATGTCAGCTCATGATGAAATCCTCCAACCAATCAAACAAAATCCCTACAAACCAATACTTGAAAATTTAGAATGAATTGTACAATTTGGAGAACCAGTCGAAGTTAGGTATCACTAACCAACCATGTCGTCCTAGTTTGGAACTCTTCAACATTATGCATCTATGACTCGACTAATGATCAAGCATAGGACTTTCAGGTTACGAGGTGAGCACATGACCCATCGGTCAGTTGACTGGAATCCATTGGATCGTGAATTTTGACTCGTGTCAATCCACTATATATACCAACACCTCCAGCCACTGTCAACAGTGAATATATGTCCTCACACCTGACTCTGTGGACCTCACCTTCTGCGGCTTTTTATTAAATCTCTAGGTACTTCACTGATCAAAACACAAATCATGTTTAGTTGATATTTTGATGGAAATGATAAGTTGATTTATTCCATCAATTGAAATTCGCCACAAATTAACGCCAGTTAGAGAACCATTGAAAACAAGGCATTACTAGGAGGCTGTTTCGTCGTAGTTTGTAACTCTTCATCAGTATGCATTCATGACCTAACAGGCGTTCAAAACCAAGTTTTGAGATTTGGAATTTAATCAATTTTCGAAATTTTCCTTATTGATTAAATGTGCAGTTCTATGAGAAACCAGAAATCCCGCTATCGTTGGGTGAGGACTTTAGATAACGGTCAATATGTTGAGATTGAGCTGGTTTTACAAGTCAACTGATGAATGGATCATCGTTCACGTTTACCAACAAAGCGTCAAAATGAAAAGAGAATTAAAACTGAACTAATACTAATAAGTTTATTAATAATATTAATCTCTTATTGTTCTAAACAAAAATTAATAATAAAAATAAAATACTCTACATCCTTCCAATTTTTAAAGTTTTTCCTTTTGTACACATTACATTATAGTTGTTACTTTAATTCAACATATTCCATGTGACCGAAATACATTTCCAGCATACACTGCATAACATCCTAATTCTTCTTCTATACGTAATAATTGATTGTATTTTGCAAGTCTTTCAGAACGACACGGTGCACCAGTTTTAATCTGAAACAAATATGCATATATGTATGCATGTAATTATATATACCTATGACAAGAACAGAATTTTAAACATATAAATGATAGTGGGCATTTCGCCATCCAGTGGGACTTATCAGCTGTACTTACCTAAGATCTGTCATGCAGTAGATGTCTCACTGATCAGACTACCTTTTAGTTACAACATAGCAATATAGGAATCCTAACTTTACAGAATCTTCGTAGACAATGATTACGTGAAGTCTTGTGTAAATATGCCCCGCCCAGTTGACTGCTGGATCGACTTGAAGAGATCGCAGTTAGCAAACATTAAACCGGAATAGCATGGATTCATTTAACAGCTGCCTAGAAAGGTAAAATACTTTAGACAAAATAGTCAGAAGACGTAATTTGTCTGGATCGTGTAATATATTTGCGCAACACATTTCGAATAATCTGATCACACACGGACTTGTCATAGGAGTATATATGAAATTAATAAAGAGTTAAAGGGTGAGAAAACAGACTTAGGTCAAGTTAATAGGATACATCGAAGGTGAAAATTACAATGAAGATCACTAAGACAACTAAGAGAGGTATTAGTACATCTACCCCGGCTGGTATCAAAACAAAGTTTACCATGGAAGGTTTAGTATAATCACAAAATGTTTTTGAGCGCATAAAGTTGATTTAAAATTCTTAATTGCTAGCAAAGGCTTCCAAAAACTTTAGAATGAGCTCCAAACACATTTTATAGATGGGTTTAAAAGACGTGTAAACAGTAATTTCATATCCCGTCTCTATAATATGTCTCGCAACAGAGGATCTAGGTATCCTATTCTCACCATTAATGGGTTCTGGGGATTATGTTTGCCTCTGGAGTCATTTAGGAATATGCTCTGAAGCCCTTACTTGCAGAGATCAATGAGTCCTCCCTGTACATATGTGGCTACACATACACTCGAATTGGTAAATACAAGTCCATGTGTGATCAGATTGTGCGAAATGGGTTGCGCAGATACACTACCTGATTCAGAAAAATTAAGCCATTTACACAGACATTGAAAATCTGGAATTACGGGACATTCGTTTCATCCAAGCTTGAATGTCTTTGAATTCTAGTGGGAAGCTGTAGTCGTTGTTAGGTGAATATTCATCCATGAGATTGTTTGGTGATGGTACTGTATTACGGATTGACAGAGGCTAGAGTTTACAGGAAATCATTATGTCAGATGAGGTTTTAGAACTAGTGTGAAGCAATTCCTAATTTATGGATCAATAGTATGATAGTTGGGCAATGTTAATCATTTCACTTATTTGGTGATTTGCATTAGCTGCAATTAAATGATCTCATGGAGAGTTATTATATTATCATTGTTCCCTTGGGTTCCTAGTGGAACATAGGGCTTCAACTGCACGTCTCCACTTGCTTCTGTCTTCTGCTGTACTTTTCACTTGCATCCATGTTAGTCCATACTGTTTCAACTCCTCTTCACACGATCTCCTCCATGTCACCTATGGACCTTCCACTCACCGCTTACTTTTCGGGTTCCACTCTAGCTATGGCCTGACGCGCGATGTCACCGAAAAGACTCCTCAGCGAGTGTCCAATCCATCTCCACTTTCTCCTGCATATTTGTTTGGCGACTGGTTCTTGTTTTGTTTGTTCCCATAGTTTCTTGTTGGTGATTCTTTCCGGCCATCTGATCTTCAGTATAGAGTGAAGACAGCTGTTGATGAAGGTCTGCAACAGGCTGTTGGAAATATTCTTTGTGACACACTGGCCAAGTTTCTGATCCGTATAGAAGAACTGACTGACTTGACGTTTGTATTGAAAATCCGAATTTTATTGTTGAGTGTTGCTGAGTTGAGTGACGAAGATTTCCAGATTGGTTTCAGGTTGATGAATGTGTTTCTCGCCTTCCCGATTCTCGCTCGATTTGACATCCTCGTCCGTTCCTCGTGTAGTTGAGACAATGCTCCCTAGATAAGTGAATGAATTAACCTCTTTCAAATCCCTCCCGTTGATGGTGATTGGCGCTAGATGTTGTTGTTGTTGTTGTTGGTTGGTTATTTTCATAACCTCCTTCTTGTCTATGTTCACCTGGAGTCCTGTCTTTGCTGCTTCTTCGACCAGTTTGTTCGATTTTCGCTTGTAAGTCTTCGATTTTGTGTGACATCAAACATAAATCATCCACGCGCGAAATCCAGGTCTTCTAGATTCTTCACGTTGGTCCAGGATATCCCTGTCTTCTCGTTTCCCACTGTCTGACGCATAATCCAGTCCACCACAATTAGGAATATCATTGGTGATAATAAGCACCCTTGTCTGACTCCTGTGTTTACTCCAAACGCTTCGCTGAGTTTTCCGTTGTGGATCACTTGACATGTGCCGTTGTCGTACAGTTGTTGAATAAGGTTGATGAATATTTGGGGTACGCCGTAGTACTCGAGTAGTTTCCAAATTACTTCGCGGTCAACGCTGTCGAAGGCCTTCTCAAAGTCTATAAAGTTGAGTTAGAGGTTTGATTGCCATTCCATGCTTTGTTCGATGATGATGCGTAGAGTTGCAATTTGGTCAGAACATGATTTGGAGAGTAGAAATGATTATTTTGCGCTAGATAAATTGCTCAATATTTGGTCTAAACATGATAATATCCTGTTATCCACTATAGGTCATCATAATTTCTCAAGTGGGATGAAATGCACTTTTCACATATTTGCTAAGTTTTCTTTTAATTATGAAAATTGACTGATTTCTGTTTACAAGTCAGTAGTACTCTTAGCTGAACTGCCTTCACAGAAGCAGTTTAACTGTTAGATTTTTGCATACAATGCTTTAGAATTTGTCTCATCATATACTAATTGCTTAATTCGGTTCATACTGATTTGAATTCATCAACAATGCTTGATCACTCGCAAAATGTCATACAACCCAGTTGTAATTTGATCTTCAATTGAATATGATACCAATAGTTCGGATATCGAAGTATTTTAATGTATGTCTTCGCTGTAGACCAACCACTTAATTCTGCCTGTCTTTTGTCTGATATTTGCCTATAATATTTAACATTTTTCAAGTACTCATAGAACCTTCTGTGTTTTTCACACTTTCTGAAGGTTGGCTATTAACTCTTTAAACTTATCAGTTAGTTAAACGTTTGTCAAAGTAATTTAAAACCAGCAATATATTCAGCATCTATCTGAACTGTTTCGACTATTGTCTGAGATAATAGATAACGTCTTCTCTCTTTGCTTTTGCGTACTAATAGTATTATAGTTGCGATTGTGCTTGTTGTAGTTATTGACTGCAGTAGGTTGCTTTAATGCACTAAGTTCGTATCGTTCAATGTCTGTTAGATTTGATTTTCTCCTTGATACTTGTGAACTGAGACTGATCAACTTCATTTCGACAATTTATTATTATTGTATTATTATTGTTTCCTTTATTTCCTAGAGGAACATAGGGCTTCAGCCACACGTCTCCATTGCGTTCGGTTCTCTGCCAACGTTTTCAACTGGCTCCAAGTCTGCCCACACGTTTTCATCTCCTCTTCACATCACCTCCTCCAAGTCACCCTTGCACTGACGACCAACTCGCCGCTTCCCTTTCGGGTTCCACTCGAGCAATGGCTTGTCTAGTGATGTCACTCGATGGATTGTTTCCTCAGAGTATGGCCAGCCAATCCATCTCCATTTCTTCCTGCATATTTGTTTCACAATCGGTTCCTGGTTGGTTCGCTCCCAAAGATCCCTGTTGCTGATCTTTTCTGGCCGGCTGGCCATCTGATCTTGAGTGGTATTGAGCGAAGACAACTACTAATGAAGGTCTGTAGTTTGTTTGAGATGCTCTTTATGACGCGCAGTGCAAGTCTCTGATCCATATAGTAGCACTGACTGACTTCACATTGGAGTTGAAAATCCGGATGTTATTTTTGATGCTGAGTGCTGTTGACCTCCACACAGACTTGAGAGTAGTGAAAGCTTGTCTTGCTTTCCCGATTCTTGCTTGATATCCTCGTCAGTTCTGTCCGCCTGTAGTTGAAACGATGCTTCCCAGGTCGTTAGGTAGGTAAAGGAAGTTGCTTCTTTCAGATTTCTCCTATTTATGCTGATTATTGTCTGTTGTTGTTGTTCTTGTCCAGGAATCTTCATCACCTCTGTTTTCTCTATGTTCACCTGAAGTCCTATCTTTGATGCTTCTTCTGCCAACTTGTTGCTTTTCGCTTGCATATCTTCCAGTTTGTGGGAAATCAGGCAAATATCATCGGTGAAATTCAGATCCTCAAAGTTTTTCTTGTGTGAGTCCATTTTATGCCTGTTTCCTCAATGCCCGCTGTTTGTCACATTATCCAATCTACTGCAATCAGGAAAATCATTGGCGGTAGTAGGCAGCCAGCTTGTCTTACTCCTGTCCTCACTTCGAAGGATTCCGTAAGTTTCCCATTGTGAATTACTTGGCATGCATCATTGTCGTACAGCTGTTGGATGAGATGTATAATTGTCGGTGGCACCCCATAGTAGACACCCGACAATTTGGACTCATTGAATGAATAACTCGATGTGAAGATGATCAGCAAGTAGAATTTACTTGTTTAGCAATTGTTAGTGGTGTTATTCACAGTCCTGAGTTTCATCTTACTTCAGATATGTCAGCTGGATCTACGTGTATTCCAGTGAATGACATTATTCCTACTGAGAAGTGAACTCTAGTACCTGCTGGTTTCAACTTCAAAACACTAACAATTAGGCTACTAAGCTATAAGTCTGTATTTGAATAGAACTAATAATAATAATAGCTTTATTCCAAACAGTACTTTTGGTATAAATACGGAATTTTCAGCATGTAATACAATATTGCACCTAACTTTCTCATTACAGGGGCAGTAATTAAAATAGGGCATTCACATTAATAGCAATTTACATTCAGTATAATAAAGGTTTTTGTATTTCCCAATGAATGAAAAACAAAACGATATTGTTTTCATTGTTTTTCATTCATTTGAAAATACAAAAACCATTATTAT